CAAACTAAACAGAAGGGGTTGAAGCAGACAAGGAAGAGAGGCAAATCCCGTGGAAGGGGCAGTGTGGGCGAGTCTGGGGAGGCAGGGAGAATTCAGGAGCCGCATGCAGCAGCACAGGAGAGATGTTGGCAAGAGGGAACAGTGGGCACCAAAGTCCCTTCAGCCTCAAGGACAATAGCCTTATGTGGTGCCCTTGAGAGCCAGATAGTTAAAATAAGGAAGGAAGCCAAAACAAGGCCCACTCGCAAAGCCCTGGGTTTGAAGTAGGCCATGAGTAACCTGTTTAAACAGGAATTTGAATAATTCATCCTACAGTTTTCAATCCCTCACTGCATAATCTATTTTGCCTCTGAATTCTGGAGTTGCACCATGCCCCCAGTCTCCTAGCTGCTCTCAATAAGCTAACTGAATTAGTTTAAAGGGCCTAACCATTTTAGAAGCATCACAACAGCCTCAACCACGAGCACTGCATGTGCTCAATAAAGCTGTCATTTGGCAAGGTTTGGAACAGACGCCCCACTGAGACTATCGGGTGTTAACTTCCATCTGGCATCTGTTAAAGCTGGGAAAAAAGGCCAATTCTTATCAGATCTCCAGACATAAAGAACACTTCCACTTTGTGTGCTCACCACTGGAAAAAACTTCTTTGTGTTTCAAATTTTAAAAATACCTTGCCCTTGAGGTTGGCAAGTCATCCAACCTCGGTGCTCCCTTTAAGACCCCTTTCCCATGCAAAGGTGATAAAAGCAATCTTATGGTTACAGAAATTCCCAGCACATAAAAATCACAGGAAGCTGTTGCTAAGTAATATTTCTACCTAAGTAAACAACACAAAACATTTCCCACACACACCTCTGAGCTCTGCTACTCAGACCCGCCTCGAAGACACGCATTGCAGCAGAATTTCCCCTGGCAACACCACCTCCAAGGGCCGTCACTTCTGTCTGAGGGCAGATGCCGAGAGCTTCGGGCCACAGGATATTTTTGTGGGTGCTTTGTTGCACAGCTTTCTATAGGAAGCAGAAGCAAGCTGCCATTTCTGTAACTCAGGCCCCACGTTTCCCAGCAGACTCTTTTTGTTCTTTTCAGTGGGCAAGACCAGAACTAGTCTTCCTGCAGACACACACCAAGAACCTGAGGACAAGACACAGCACCACTAGGCTAGCTAGTTTTTCTGTTACAACTCTTTCTTGCAACCCCAAGCTGCCAGTTGCACTAGGATCAACAGTTAAGCATCACCTTACTCACCACCTCTGATGAAAATATTCATTTTGTTCGGATGAGGGTAACAGTGCCACCCGTTCCAGCCATACTGCCCGCCAGCTCCCTTGCCAGCAGGAGGGCTCAGAAGAAAGAGCACATTTGCAAACCTTGCAAGTAACCTGCCCAAGTCGCTGGTTCAAACTTCGAGGGTCCCGTGGAGCCCCAGAGTCACAACAGTCTGCACCCCAGGAACCCCCCGTCGGATAAATACATGGGGATTATCAGATAGTATATGTAGACTGTCTTCTAGCTTATTTTTATTCATTTCACATTTCCTCCCAGCTCCCTGTCATTCTTTCTCCTCATCTTCTTGTTCTTCTCCCCTCCTCTAAGTGAGCATGGGACACCAGTTGCAAGCAAATGACTGAAAAGTCTCTCCAAGATACTTAAACCCATTTGTGTATCCCGAGACGTGGCTGAAGAAAGGAACTTGAGAGCAGAGAGGCTACGGGGGAATCCTATCAGAAGGCAGAGCCATTCCTCCTCAAGCGAGAGACGCACACATGGTATTTCTATTACAGTTAAAAGGGAAAGCCACATGGAAAAAAATGCAAAATATGAAAGTGATGTTTGACAAACCCGCCCTGCCAGATCTGAGGTCAGAGACACTGGCTTTTCAGTTATTTTGTCTACTAAATTCTTCAGGAAAGACCAATTCTAGCTGAACAGACTGCAATGAACTGCAACCTGTGTCATCAAGGTGATTACAAAAATAAAAAAAAAGAATGTATAACTTAAAAAATGCTCTAGCAAAATGAACCTGAAGGTGCACAATGGCCTTTAAAAAACATCCCTGAATGTTAATTGAACTGCTTTTTCCTCACCCACACAAGTCACTAAAAATCAAGGAAATCATTAGTTAAACTAACATTCATATCCTGAACCGTCTCTTAACACCCAAGTATATGCCATTCCTCAGCACTGCAAAAAGTCTCTGCTACCTCCAACGTGCAACTGCCCTCAGACACCAATATAATTCCTACGAAATCTCACATAGGCACAATCTTAATTCTGACCTCAGCAAAACTCAGTCACCAATAGACCCTTTAGTACGAAAACCTCAAAGCCATTACCTCTAACTAAACGTTCTCGACTCGAGTTACAGCTGCACAAGCATGATTCGAAGTCTTGGGCATAAGCTTGGTGTCTTTATGCTTCAAATAAAGAAGAGTTTGCTGCAGAGCAGGAATCAGGATTGATTTAAAGAAACCAACCACTCAACCAAAGAGAAACCCTACTCATGAAACAGGGCAGGGATGGAGGTCCAGAGATGCTGCTGAAGCAGCCAAGCTATACTCCCGTGCCCTGCTCCCTCCCCCACATCAGAAAAGTTCCCGTTCCCAGAGGAGCATGTGAAATGGCAAGAGAGAATCCTGGTAAGCATGTGACGGGAACCTGAAAACACGAGAAACTGAAAGGTACAATTTCATAAGTGGGCTTTTTGGTCTCTGCTCCAGAACAGAAGGAGACCGATCCCTATATTAGCAGTCCTCCTTACAACGTTAAACGTCTGCTTGCTTGCTCAAATATTGTAAAAAGTTGGTAAAGGAAATTGCATGGGGAAGAGACGCATTTAATCCCTGCTCCATGCATCAATCACATGAAGCAGGGATTAAATGCTGGTGGGGGTGAGGCACCTCCAAATTAGCAACAACATGCCTCTAAAGGACCCTGACTGCCACATCACGTTATCTGTTAGCATCTACATCAACCCTGCCTCTGCTTTATTTTGGAGCGCAGGGAGAAGAGCAGTAAATTTTAAGTCTGAGATGCCTTAAAAGGTGAAGTTCAAGAACTTCTCTAAAAGGAAAGGCCAAAAAACTTCTTAGCGTGCTTAGCACCCAGAGCTAAAAGCAGATATTCAGGAGAGCGCAGGTCCCACTGCCAGCACTCCCCTGTAGACTGAAGGAAGAGGAAGGAGTTCAATGGCCCTCCAGAGAGAACCAGAAATGGATTTTGACAGAAATTGAGAATTATCCATCTCCTTAATCCAGCCAAGCTAGAGAAGCAGATGGGCAAGCTCTCACTTTCCTCCTGAATCCTCATGATTGTTCGTCCTCCTCTCAGATCTGCTGTCTCTACGTACATGGTCTGTGGTATCCGAAGGAGAATCCCGTCCAGCACAATGCACACTCACTGCAGGTCGAACGCTGACAAACAAAGAAGGCATCCGTGTCAGCATTCGCGATGTTTCGGCTTTGGGATCTCTAATGAAAGCAAGCTGGGAGGGAAACCACCAAGTTGCTTTATGCATTTTGTCTTTGGCTACAGAACTGATTTCACATAAATATCTCCACACACACACTTCTTTAAAATATCTTTGTGATGAATAGAAGTTTTGTCGCACACCAACCAGCAACATCTCTACAGGTAGAAAGCAAAAGCAATGAACAGAGGAAGCTCTCCCAGCCAGCCTGCCTCTTAGAAATGCTTAAGGCACCCTCACCCTAGCATCAAATCTCAAAACAAAGAGCCTACAATAGGTTTATTAAGCTCTGAATATACAACTTCACCAAGGTTTTGCCCCTAGAACAAGGATCCTACTGAGAATGTTACGGTCAACTGACTGCATTTCATCCCAGGCTCAGGTCCAAAAAGAAACCAAAAGAGCTGGAAACGATCTAGACCAGAAAGATAGGAGTCAAGATGCTCGGTGGGCTGGGATAGCTGCTTGAGATCATAAGAGAAGCCTCAGGTCAGCCGTCACAGTTTCAATATCCAGTACACGGACTTGCCACACGGTAATTGGAAAGGTAAAAGAAAGCTCCGAGTGCTTGTGGCTGGCACAAAAACAGAGACACAGGTTCCAGTAACAGATTCGGCTAAAGAACCATTACGTAATCCCAGCCATGCTTAGCAGGAAACCTACCTGCACATGTGACTGCATTGTCACTGCTTATGGCTGACCAAAAACAAATAACAATTTTAAAAAGTCTTCAAGGAATGCAGGCAGGTGCGACAAGGCACTCACGAGTACAGATAGTTCACTGCTGAAAACGTGAGCGCAGAGGAACCCGACTAGAACTCTTAGCATCCGAGAGCTTCGTGTCAACAGTTTGTCAAGTGTGTTTTTCAAGTCACGTATCAATTACAAGTGTTGCCACTCTAAATATTTTGACCAAGTCTTGTAAAATGAATGCACAAGATCTACAGGGAAGTCTGTGTGTGTTAGTAAACGTTAAGAGAATGACTTTGCAAGCAATCAAAGCCAAACATAAAAAAAGATGCGAGCTGCTGTATAACAATCAAATAAAGAGTTGAAATTTGAATTTGAGTCATCACTTTCTTCATCCAAGGATGACATACATGCACGTGCACATGCACGATTCCACCCCCACCCCCAAGCCATTTCCAAAATGTAAATTGTCAGGACTTTTGTTCATAAAGAAAACCAGATAGCAATGTTGAGAAACTGATATTGGTTAGTCACCCAGCCTGGAGAAAAACAACAACAACACAGACAATAAATATTACAGAAACCAGTTTCTGATAATGGTTAGTACTTAATCTACAGCAAGCAACTTAAAGTATTCTTAGATGTGGTTCTTTAAATAGAAAACCACAAAATGACACAAACATTTGAAAAATAAAAAAGTTTCATAAATATTTCTGTTACTTCCTTTTCACCTCTGAAATACAGGCAGCACTTAAGGGGGAGAGGGCGGTATTATCACTACCTGGATGGATTTACTGCCACCAGGGCACACTCAAAGCCATCTCGCGCTCTGCGTTCCTACCTCTCTGACAGCGATCGTGGGTCCAGCAGCGCTCGATGAAGATGCCGTTTATTACAGTAGGTGGGCAGTTGCTCTTTCCTTTCACAGTTCCTGGACACACATCTCCACACTCCTCTTTATCATCCTTGTTAGCAACGATGTAGTTGTCTTCCACGGAGTCCAAGATTCTTGACCAGTCAATTGTGGACAAGTAACACAGTTCATTGTTCTTCTCAATCCGCACAGCACCTCGAGTAATGTTCATCAGGTTATAAAGGCCTATCTCTTTCAAGTGAACCATCTCGAATATGACCAAAGCATAGTTAAAGAAGAGATGAGTTCCTCGAATCACAGTGAGGTTGGGGAAAAGCCCCTTTAAACTTTCAAGGCCATAAACCCGAAAAAGCAGTAAGTAGTCTGTAATCATAGTCAGTTTGGGAAAGCTGAGCTCACGGAAATCTTCAGGCTTGGTTTTGAACATCAGTAATATTTGCAAGTGGCCCTCAATCACAGTGCAGTTCTCCAGCATATTGAGCCGGGTCAGGTTGTTCCGGATGTCCATGCTCTTGCAAACTGGAAATCAAAGAACAAAAACAATTAATTGACTGTTTTCTAAAGAACCAGGCATGCTCCTACACCCTGTAATGCACTGCATGCTCCGAACAGCAGGGGGGACGCTTCGAAGCGTGGGACTAACAGCGGGAAGCGCACTGCAGGGAGCACTCCCGTACATAGGAGGGGTTTGCAAGACAGGATCATATGCTCCGTCATCTGCAATTTCAATTTATGTTCACTGCGAACAGAGCCTCCAGGTTGAAGCAAGAGTCCTTATACAGTCATTTGGCATTTACAAGAGAGGAAAGAGTCTACTCAGCAGAGTCTGTTGCCAAGAAAACAACACACCTACCCCATTTTGGATTATGCAATTAATACAAAGGGATTACTGGGAGTAATTGGGCAATGGGGCCTGGTTGGGAGGAGCAGATGGAGGAAGACAGAGGGAAGGAAATGCAGCAGTGCACCCCATGCTGCTGCCTCAACATCACTGATGAAGTCCAAGTTCGCTCCAGCAACCGAGAAGGAAGCCCGCTGCTCAGATTTGTTGCTTTGCCCGTTATTACGTTCCAGGTTGGGAACCTTCTCCCTGCCGTATCTCGTTCAGCACTTTACTTGGCAGAGCCATTGTTCACTTTGCCAGTTCTCTGGAGCCCTCAGCAGTGACAGGAAAACAAGAGCAACGTGAACACAGGCTCTAGCAAAATAAGGAGCCAAAGATGCAACTCGGTTAATTTGTGCCAATTCGAGAAGCAAAATGACGTTCCTCAGCTGACGCAGGTTTGGGCGACAGAGCTAAAGCCCCACTGGAGTCTGCTATCAAAAACAGCATCCAGCAAAGTCCAGCTGAAACCACCGCTGAAGTTCCTCGCTCAACTGTTGCCCGAGGGCTCAGCCTTGGGCCTGGTCACACAACACCGACTCCAGCAGAGCCACTGGCTCGGTCCCTGCAGTCCGCAGAGCAACAGGCACCGCTCTGCCCGCAGACCCGGCTCCCAAGCAAAAGGCCTAGTGCCGCTCTGCGATCCAGGGCCTCCAGGTCCCACTAGAACCATTTCCTCCACGCTGCTCATCTGGTCACACCAAGCTTTCAATATTTCTGGCCATCACTTTTTGAGGATACCAAAATCCCCTTTATTGTGCTCTGCTATTCTCCTGCTGCAGGAGAAGGGCAACACTGCTCCTGGTCGTCTGTAAACTTCTGCTATCAAAAGACAGAGCTGACTAGAAACCACCATGAAAAACTAGAATAGAAAAGTCACCAATAAACCTGGGGTTTTGTTTGCTTGTAGACATTAATCCTCCAGCTATTCCTGCAAGGGGCAATCTACAGCTGATCAAAATGTGACTAACAAACATATCACTTAGACAAGGATGGGTCTGATAAGCCCTTTACTAGCCATTTCTCACTTCAGTATTTAAACCGCTCTGCATCTTTCTGCCGTGAAGGTCCGAGCCGCTGGAAGCGTTCCTCAGCACCTTTCCTGGCAGCAGCTATGCGGGTTCAGAGCCAGTCGCTGCACTCTCTAAAGTGCTTCAGAAAACCCAGGATTTGTCACTGGGACATAGCCAATCCCTTATCTGCCAAGAGGCAAACAATAATGCTGGACTAAAATAAACCATACACTTGATAACATTTCTCTGTCTAATTTGGTGCAGGCAGGTACCGCTATCTCTATGTGTTTACCTAATTAGCACTTTTCCAGGGCACCTACCTGCACATGCCTTTTAAAGCAGGACTTCATCTCTGGGGTCTAATTCTGTTGTCGATTATTAACTGTTATCTCCGCTACAGGGTACAGAGCCAGCAACCTAATTTAATTTCATTAACATCCACACAAACATCTCTACTGCACCGACTACATCAGGCACACCAGCTGGAGCACTGTATTTGTTACAGGCACAAGTTTGGGAGTGTCAGACGTGACCATGTCCCTTCAAAAATAAAATCACTATTACAGGACCATTAAGCTCTGTAAATTCTAAAGACAAAGTCTGTTCTTGAAATTCCTTTACATTCAAACACCTCAGTGTTTAATGCCGTGTCTCACTACCTGCAACTTGTGATCGTTAGAGGACTAGCTAGTCCAGAACAAAATCTTCTAGGATGTACTTAGCAGGAAGAGTTCCAATTAGTTGAAACTGAAGCCATCAGCTTATTTTCTAAAGCTCAAGAGAATTTGTACACGCTAGATTCCCGCTGGAGCAGACCTGGGCAGCTGCATTATAAACATTTACGTTTATGGCACTGCAAAATCAGTTAACCACAAAAGACAGAGGTGTTGCTAAGCCGTGCTCAGGCGTATGGAGCTGTTTAGATTGCACGTTCTTTGTGGCTTGCCTTGGTACCTGCTTTTAAAACACTTGGCACTCCTCTGGCACCGTACTATACAAATTAAAGTATTAACTGTTAGTGGTGCTACCGAGTATTACTGCGGGAAAATTGAAGACTCAATATTGGCTACTTTTCAAACAGCAATTGGACAAGTGAGGCATGTTCAGTCTAGACAGTATTTTGTGCTTCTTCATTTTAGCTTAAGGCATGTGATATATTTATCTTTGATTTCCATCAGTGATATCATCCTTGCTTAAACACTGAGGCGTTTAAATTGATTCCTATGGCAGATTCTTTCATTAGCTCGGGTTAGAAAACAGAGATGAATACGTGTAGGTGTTGTGTCCAGAAATGCTCCCTTCCCGGTGGTGCAGCACACTGGACACGCATCTCTACATGCGCGCACATCTCAGTGCAGCCACCTTAGCACATGCTTAAACATTTCCCTGGACCAGAGCCCACAGGAGGACAGGCTGGCTGAGCCCTGCTTGGTTCTGGAGGATCCAGAGTCATTCATTCAAAGCTCATTAAGAAGAGGCAGTTAATGATTGTTAAAAACGTAGTTTCTGGTTTAAAAATAAACAAGAACAAGTAATTTGAACAGATAATCTACCTGTGGTTGGCAAACCACGTATTGAAATAAGGCCCTCTTAATATCATTCTGCATAATGCATACATTCAGTGTATCCTGCTGCTAAGAAGGATTTGCTTTCAGTCCAGAAGCAATCATGGGTGGGCCGGTAGATTTCCTCAACTAGTGTATTTTTACCTTTGGTTTAAATGAAAGCAACAGGAGTAATCTCACACAAGTGGATTTATATATTCTACCCCTTTCACAAGCCCCAAAATATAGTGAGCCACCAATCCAAGAGTACTTTTCAATGTTTGAGTCCAAAGGACAACACTGAATGCAAAGAGAACTACATTGTCACAGTCTGTTTTAACTTATCCTAGAAAACTTCAATCCACTTCCAAAACTAGTCAAACCATAAACAAATGTTAACGTTAATATTGGACATTAAAGGTTACCACTGCCATCACCATGTGGGTCTTGCACAATAAAGCCACCTAACCCATTTCATTGTAACCTTTGCTATGGATTTGCTTTTTCCTCCATACGAGAGCTATACAACGTTCCCATTTCTCTTGAGGATTCTCCAAGCAACAAACACACACGAACTATGGAGACACTTCTGTGCTTTCCTAACAGAGCCTTCCCCTGAGCGCACACAGACAGATGCACACAACGAAGCCAATGTCTCCTGGGCCATTATGGCCTGGCAGGGAAGGCAGCATTTTAAAGCTGGCGAAGCAAACACTTTAACCACAGGAACGTGTGCATCAGCTCCTGCGAGCAAAAGAGACGGGGCCCTCCTCTGTGAATACCAGCCATTTCATTCCGACCGATGGCACCGTGTCCCAACACACCGGGTCCCCACCCAGCAAGACCGGCACTGCGGCTCGTGAAAGAATCGACACGGAGGGCACTATCCCCCGAGCAGCAAGGTCTACAGCACTTGGTTACTCAGCCACCCGCATCCATTTCCATCTCGCGCACACCCTAACATGCTCAAAGCTGCCAGAGCTTGTCATGATACAATCACGTTCATGAAAAATTAGGCATCAAAGACCCATGCTTTAATCTACTGAAAGTTACAAAAACCCCCACATGCACGTGGTAGAAATTTGTTTGATGCATTTCAAAGCGTAAGAGAAGTGAAGTGTTTTCTGAAAGCCTGCAGGAACACACTGTGCAAAGGATTCGCTTCCCAAAACGCTCCTTGAGCGCTGGAGGCAGCAGCCCCTCGGCCCGGTGCCATGACCCACGCAAGCGGCGCTCCTTATACAGCCACCACGCACACGTTGCAGTTAAATCACCCACTGGCCCAAAAGCCTGACGGCCCAACCGTTCAGGGCAGTGAATTGTCTAGCTTGTCTTGGCTCAACAGGCACGAGTGTGGGTTTTTTTTAAACTACTTTACTGAATTTTATTAAAATCTCTTAATGATTGTTCATAAACCTGATTAATTACAAATAAAAATTAAACTTGGCAACACTACTGTAAGATTCTGAGCAATATTATTGCTCAATAGGATTTTCCGGCATTATATCCTAGTGGCTTCATAAATCATTACTGGGAGAACGTTAACACACACACACACACACACACACACACACAACACATCAAAGGTGATGTGCTTTTCAAGGTAGAACAGGAAACCCTGTGAGCAATGAAAAGCAGCCTCTCTGCCTCACCAACACCTTTGGCCACGGTAGGAGCCAGCCAGCGAGTTACCTTTCTGCACATTGCAAGCACGGAATAAAATATTGGGAAAGGCTCAGACGTAGCTTGCACGGGCCGTTCCAGTCCGTCCTCAAAAACAAGTTAGAAGAGGAAGGGTGCTTTCAGGGCAGACACGCATGGAGCGAGTGGGGCTTTCCCTCTGAGGTTTCACAAAGGCTACCACATTTAGTTCAAGAGTATCTCCTCTGAATCAACTATTCTGCCAAATGCTACCTAGCTTTAAATTAGAAAGTACCTAAATACCCTTTGAGGGCACGGGGAGAGGAAACAGGGGAATACCTGGTAATAAATCTGCTCACTGTAACACAGGAGATGTTTTCAGTATCATTTTCCTGCTGAAAAACTGAAACATCTGTATTTGCTATTTTGATCTTCGGCATTCTGGCCACGCCGAGGGGCCAGCAGCTTTGCTGCAGCCACACTGCTGCTTCTCACCGAGCACTCGTGTAACGTGCTGCCCCAGGCCTGGAGGAGGAATCAGCCGGAGCAGGAAGCTGGTCACTCATCCACGCCAACTGGCACAGAAAGTTCAGTGCAGCTCCCCAACAACAGAGTACCACAGAGTCTTCAGACTTATCCCGCTCCCTACACCGAATCTGGAGCACGCCCACGGTCTGGGTCCTTATGCTCAAGGCCCTCTGCGGCCTGGATCCAGGAGAGCTAAAAGGGCACCTCGAGCTTTGGGACAGAGACTGTGAGGAACCAGGAGCCTGATCTGGTGCAGTGGAAGAGACAAATGTTCCCAGGAAACGGCCTGAAACCGTGGGGTGAAAGACTCCAGAACTGGGCGTCATGCAGCCCCCGCCTCCTGTCCAAGTGCCAGGTGCGCCTCCGAGACCACGTCTCTCTAACACGGTGGTGCTTGAGCAGTCTAGCCACACAGGCCAGAGAAGTGACACGGGGACAGTCTGCGGGCCAGATCCTGCGCATGGGGCTGGACCCACTGCAGGGTGGACACACGGGTTCAACCTGGCCCGCTGGTAAGACCCTGCACAGCGGATCCAGCCGCAGCACAACCACGCGCTACAGGGATCTGGCACGCAGACAGCAGTGCCATCCACACCACAGGGTCTGGATATCTGGTGGCAGGGGAGCAGTGGCATCATTGACACCCGTGGCTCTGGGAGCAAAGCTGCCACTGCTCCCCCACTGCCAAATTTCTGGGGAGCTCCACAGGCTAGAGTCTGAGGACCACTGCTCTAACA